TTATGAAAACCAATTATATATAAATGCCTAAAAGATGGCGAAGCTGCAAACGCACAAAAATATATCAAACACAAAGTAGAAACTTGCATCCGTTGAAACGATGACATATTTAAAACGGTGTAAGTGCTACTTAAAGTGTTCCGTTTATCTATACATAAGAAATCACTTGCCCTTACTGACTGATTCATCAACGCAAAAAATCTTATCCTTCCATAACACATTAAGTAACAAGTTGTTACTTAATGTGTTATACGAGGAGCGTCTATGGGTTGTTACTAACCACTAACCCATAGACGCTGAAGTTTTTTGTGAGGTATAGGATCTAGAGACACTAATTTAAAAATATATACATAGATCAGATTAGTATTCTGATTAAATGCTGTATAAATTAAGTCGAGGTTATTATAGGATTTATAAGATCACTTATTTAAATTTTGTACTGATGACATTATGTACTAGACGATCTAGCCTTGTCACATTGCAGATTTAAACAATCAATCATCATGCAGTTCAGATTGAATATTTAGTTGTTAGCTTAGGAACAAATACTGTTGGACCCATTTGCTTAAAATTGGGTCAACGTGATAATAAATGTCGTATCTCTCTCGCTGAAGGTTTAAGTTAAATAGAGTCGGAACATGTGACAAAATAGAACACAGAATCAGGGGAATAGGAGGTCCAGCCCCGGTAACTTCAGTCACTCGGTGAAAAGCAATGAAAGAATTGCTTAACACCAGTTTTCTGTTAGGCCATGGTATCACTACGGTCGAGCCTGTTAATTGGTGCTGAAACAATGCTCTCCCTCTTTCGAAACTCATTCCCTATGCCAAACAATGTAGTTCAAGCTTCTACACATCAAACTTAACTTTTGAAATTGACTGATTTCTGTCACATACTCGTATGTGTCATATTGGTAGCGTTTCTTTAGCAATGACCAGAGCAGTGCTATTCTCTAAGGGAAAAGCCTTACGTACAGCACTGCCACAACGTCGAATTTCAAATTAAGTTACTTTGATTCCTTAGAGCTCAGACATCATTCATTGCCTTAGCAAAAAAAAAACAACCTTACCAATCGCTGCCTTGTAATCCCCAATGTCCATAAATAAACTTCGTTTTCGCATTGCAATTTGATTTAGGACCGACTGCTACTACAAAACCTTTTATTCTGGCCTAACTTTGTGCTTTAAGAAATAACAGAGTTGATACTACAAATCGATAACTTGCCATGTATGACGAAATATGAGAATATAATACAACACACTAAAGGCTCAAGGCACGCGAAGGAAAAGATCGAAACAGATTTAGAAGTTAAAATTATTGCTTCTGAATTTGATTTGCTTAAATCTCAAACAGCAGGCAAACTTGACACAAACCCTGTACTAACCTGTCTGGCCAGCGTGGTATAGTAGGCCAAAACCTTTCTAGGGAGAGGCCTACGTCCAGCAGTGGACTATTAAGGCTGTTGATGTGATGTGAATCTCAAATGGTTAGTAAAAAAAAAGGACCAGTGATCGCAAACCCAAGACCACCTGCCGTAAGATAATGATTAACATACGGCTTCAAAAATTTTTTACCGGTAGGTAAACAGTTCAAAGGCACTTATCTGCTTTTTATAAATCAAACTAGGTATAGTTTGATTTATAAAAAGCAGATAAATGCCTTTGAACTGTATCTCAGGTCCTAAGAGCACGTATTTGTCTAATGACTACAGTAAATAACACTTTACGAGACTAACCTTTCAATAACTTATGTAAACATTTAAAGTAGGCTATACTAACATTTTTCTGTTATTTTTTAATAATCCACCTAGGTAAAAGCCATCGAAAGTCTAGATTATTCTTCATCTATTTCCGGTTATCAGGAGACGATTTTATAAATAACAATATTTCTTCATACATTATAAATAGCAACAAGATAATGAAAACGAGTCGATAGTGACGAGACCCCCAAACATGAAGGCGAGCCCTAGGGCGCCAATACTTGACAGCTTTCAACCGCGTCTTCACTAATTAAATAACGGAACAGACAGGAACGATAACAAACAGATTATATGTCTGTAAACAACATTAGCATACTTATCAGATTTTCCCTAAGTGTGCATTTATTAACACTAACAAATATTGTGTTAACTAAATCACCAGTGTTCCCCCATGTTAAATCTGTGTGTTAATATTATTAAAATAGGACAACATGCTTTTTTATCTTAATCTATTTTTCAGTTATAAACCAATGAAGTTCAGATAGATATTTTAATATTTTAATGTAAGTAATATTTAAATGTCCTAGACATAGATCTAACATGACAATACTACAAACATTTTAAAATCATCGTTTTAATACATAGCAGTAAGCCCGAGATCTCGTGTGGAGATCTGTATTATCTCACACTTCTCATTAGTTTGGTCTAAATTTTAAATTGCGTCTCAATTTCTATCAGCTGTTAGACCTACTAAATCTACCAAACACAAGAAAAGTTTAAGATCCAGTCTGTGATATTTATCTACCAACATTTGACGTTGCTGTCGACTTCAGGGGCACTTACAAACGAAGCAAATGCTTGTAGGTTAGGACGCTAGATTATACCACACTCATCCTAGATGTAAACTGAGGCGTGTTAGCTTTTTATATTATCTGAATTACACAAAAATAACACCACCTAATTAGTAAATAAATTTATTGAGACAATACCCTTCCATGTCGCATGAGTGACGCAACACAATTTCACTGCAATTAATTCTCATTAGCAGTCGATCTGTCAATAAAGTTGTCACCTTGTGTATAAATAGCTTCTCTTTATTGAGCACTACGAATCATTGTCAAGAATTGAGTACAAAGGTGTAGGTACTGGTAATTATCCTGTCTATACTATTTTTGTATTTGACTATAGTTGGTTAATATTTAGAATTAAATATTGTATCAGTTTGTTAGTACAAAAACATTCTTAATTACAAACTTAAAGTGTTAGGTACACTTTAAGTATACATTTAAGTACATGTTTAATTCATTTCAATCTGTATAGGTTTACAAAGAACCGGACTTTAACTTCTCGATACCCCTAAACTTTCTAAAACTACCGTCCTACGTACATTTGATAAACTATTTATAAAATATGAAAGTAAGTTACTTACATTATACTACTTTTAAGCTCTTAAGGCACATAGAACGACCTGCTTTAGGCGCCAACTGTCATGGAGCGCCGAAAAACTAAAACAATTTCCATCCTTCATTAGAATTTTACTTTAGTAAAATTCTAATGACAATTACTGTGAGGGCTTTCCGTGAAATTGTATTCAATAATTTTATTTATTACAAATCAACAGATTTTATTATTTATCGTATAGCTACATGTAAATAAAACCTTGGCTATACAATTTAATAGCAATGCAATCAGAACCTTCTTAACGTTAAAGAAGCAGGAGTAAAATACATAATTATTATGATTAGAGCTATAGAGAAAAGTTCGAAACTGTTTACCTTGTGCCTTTTACGTACTTAAAAATATGTTTTAAAATTACAGACTTAATATAAAAATCGATTCCCGAGAATGACGAACTATCAAAATAAATTCAAGGTTGTTTACTCATAGTCCGCGGACTCAAAGTCAGGTTTATTACTTATCTTTAAGTTACCTGTATCGAGGTATCATTAAGCGTTGCGCCAGAAATACTTACTGACATAATATTACCCGATACAACTGTTGTTTACTTAAGCACAGCGTATTCTGAATAAATGCGAAGTTTATATCACCATTCCTATTGTAAACAGTAGGTACACTGTTGATGAGTACACAGTATAAATACTGAACACTGATAGTACGACTAATGACCGAGTGTCAGTTACCAAAAATTAGTAAAAGGTGTAAGCAGTATAAAGAGGACCGTAATTAATTATTCAACAAATAATAAGAAGTAATGTCATTGTGTTTGGGATTGCTTGCGAGGTCCATTTCTGACCAGTGCTGGATAAGATTAGGTTACAATGTGTTTTCAAAGTGTAATCCCATGACTATGGATGTCAAAACTGATCCAACTTGTCTTCTGGGTCCTTCTGTAAGGTATAGGTCAAATATGATGGTTATAATCCTTGATTAATTGTAAGGATTTAGCTATTGTATCTTTTGTGAGTTTATTGGTCACTTAACGTGATGGATATCGGAACGGACAAAAGCATATTATTACAGCCAGTGCAAACTGGTCGAAACGTATGGCAATCCAAAAGGATGTTAAACCTAAGTGTGTTCCTGATGTCGATATTCGCGTTAATGGATAAGATACCCTGTGATTATTTATTGTGCTATTTTTCACTACACTTCTCTTAACTTAGTTGACTAAATTACATTTAAGTACATCGACATTGCTTAAATGAGCCCACTGGCTAATCAGGCCACAGGTTATCTTCTCATCATGGTCCAATCAGCCTGCAATACTTCATCATTATTTCTTTCTTTTTCTTTTTTACAAAGACAACTCTTGCATTAAAAATATATCCCGTGTCACGGGGGACTTACATATACATGAAACGGACACCAAGAACACCCATACTCAGAATAACAATTTGTGGATCACACAGTGTCGTCCCATGTGGGGATCGGACCCACAACACTCAGCGTAGTAGTAAGCGGCGTGGCGTCCGCTTAAACCACTACGCCATCCGTGCAGTCAGTTATGTTTGAGAAAAAACTACACCATTTCTAAACTGAACATAAATTTAGCCTGGAAGACGAGTATCAGACATCGTTGGTCAATGACTTGAAGTCACCAGTGCAAAGAAAGGTCATAAATGTTTTTAAAGCGGAGTCAGGGGTGAGTTAGACGGGCGGAGCGCGGGGCGTGGCGGCGGGTGCTTGCGCGCCGCCCATCGTCTGCGTATAATAAGCGCGCGCGGCGCACGCGGCAACTCGCCAGCGCGATCAGCTCCGGCGCCGGTGGAAGACGCACATAGCCCTGTGCCCCACGCGACGCGACTCGCGGACTACTCGCACGCGCACCGCTCGCGGCTTGATGCGATCGCCGGCGCCAGTTGCCTCGACCCACAGTTACACAACATCACAAACAATAACAGACAGAGGAAAGGACGTTCCTGACCTACAAGCTAAGTAAGTGACTTATTAAAATTTAGAGACTTGAATTTTTATACAGTGTTCCTAGTGAATGTGTGTCATTAAAAACTAATAGTTAGGACTTATAACTATCTAGATATGTTCTTAAACTTTATTAACAGTACAACTTAATATGAAGGTTTATTGTGTGTCAGTGAAGCTAAATTTTATAATTCAAAGTATTTAAATGAACATTCTCAGGCGCCATAAAATTGATCTTAGGAGATGAGAATTTTACATAATACAAATCCGCAAATAATTTGCTGTTAACGAATATCTGTTTTCATTTCCATCCTATAATAGAATTCACATTCTGACTATCCTGCTTACAGACAGTTTCCTTGACTTCTATATGCAGGAAAAAATATTTTAAATACACTTTACATTATGTTACATAATAAAGTTATGACAAATACACTTCTAGGAATCTCTACCTAATGTACTTCGAGCTAAGTCTTTATTAAAAAAATCACTGGTGTCATCCTCAATGCATTAAGTATTAAAATACTTAGGTCCGTTTCTTCTATCCACTCGGCTATTTTGAAACTATTCATTTAAAAATATATATACATATTGAAATATATGTACCAATATTATTTAAAAATAAGTTAGTTGTTAGCTCTGATCTTTTTCAAAAAGACTCAGGGAACAAGATACACAGAATTTGGTTTTATGCGTCTTTATGTTTATTTTCATCTGAAGAACAAAGAAGCTTTCCTTATCTAGTATTAGAAATTTATTTTCTTGTTTCTATTAATATAAATAAGTACACTGTAGGATTTAATCTAATATCACGTACAACACAACTGAAGTCATAGTCGTATTTTTTACTACCTTGTGACCATTTCATAAGGGTTCGATTCCCACCCAGGACAAATATTGTGTGATGAGCACGGTCATTTGTTCTGTGTCTGGGTGTAATTTATCTGTAATATGTATGTATTTAAAAATATATAAGTATGTTTATCAGCAGTCTGGTTACTATAGCACAGGCTCTGCCTAGTTTGGGATCAGACGGCCGTGTGTGAAATGTGTGAAGTTATTATTATTATAAGTTTAAAAAAGTAATTAACGCTTATTTAATGTCTAAAGGTATCCGTATTATAAGTAGAAAAAGTTAAAGGAGAAACTTACCTACTTAATTGCCATTTTAATCTATGATTTCAAATTATTACATATTGTTAATGCATAATATTCCGATCAAAAACTCTAATTTAATATTCTCTCAATACTTAATCTCGCTTTTGTACTGGATAATGGGATGTTAAACCTAAGGATAATGGATAAGATACCTGGTGCCTATTTATTTGGCTACTTATCACTAAACTTCTCTTAACTTAGTTGACTAAATTATATTTAAGTAGATCGACATTGCTTAAATGAGTCCACTGCCTAATTAGGCCACAAGTTATCTTCTCGTCATAGTCCAATCAGCCTGCAATACTTTTATACTTCATCATTATTTCTTTCTTTTTCTTTTTACAAAGACAACTCCCGCATCAGGAATATATCCTGTGTCGCGGGGGACTTACATATGGGTACATGAAACGGACACAAAGAACATTCAGACTCAGAACAACAATTTGTGGACACACAGCTTACAATTGGAACATGGGACGACCCATGTCCCAATTGTAAATATTATGCAAAAAATCTAAGGAACTAGGTTTAATTTTCTACTTAGAAGTTTAGTTTAAGGTCCTACAGGTTTATTAAAATACAGGGATATTAAGACACAATAATATTGAAATGTCTATAATTTATCATCAAATATGGAAATAGTTTTCCTTTTTTTGAAATCCACCGCAGGCATTTGTACTTTTTAACAACAATTGGTCGTAAAATTAATTATTAATTAATTAAAAATGGTATTCTCTATATTTCAAATGTTTTATTGTTAGAATGTTTTAAGCACCTAACTTAAAAGTAATCTAACAACATGACGATTACTGAATAAAAATGTTCTCTAAAACATCATTAACACGACTAAAATTAGTACTTGTTTGTCATAGCAATTTAATACATTAACATAATAGCAGATCTTGCTATAGCTGTAAACTGAGTTGTAGGTAACCAATAAAATAACAAATAAATTAATAAGACAAACAAGTTTAAGTTTTCTGTTGTCTAGTAAACACTGTTATTTCTCGTAAGAAACTTCTTTGAAGGTTGTATATCATATGTTCTGCATGATCGAATTTTGCATTCATTGTTCATTGTTCATTAGTAAAACAACCGATTTAAAACGTTTTAAATTAAATGTTGCCGTTTTAAACCCCAAATAAATCGTTTAAATGGTTGAAAACTCGCCTACAAAAATAAAAGAACTGTGTTTTATGCTTCGTTATAATTAGTTCATAGAAAATCAATAGAAAATACCTACATTACCTAATACACGAAAACTTAAGTATGTAGCTATACCTACCTATACTTATTTATTACATTATATTATATTACACACACTAGATTAGAAGACATCATTAACACAATGCCGTCCGTTTTACTTGCGCATGAAAGAGACAACGTTATGTCTTCAAGGCCGTCGCGAGTGACGACGTCAACGAGAGTGTGAGAGTGTGAGTTTGGTTTTAAACCGGTTATGTCTTCAAGGCCGTCGCGAGTGACGACGTCAACGAGAGTGCAAGAGTGTGAGTTTGGTTTTAAACCGGTTATGTCTTCAAGGCCGTCGCGAGTGACGACGTCAACGAGAGTGCCAGTGTGATTTTGTTTTTTAACCGAATCAAATTGATTAGTTATATCGTTTGAAAACCATGAAAAAAATGTTTATTTACCAACACAGTTTTTAACTTATCAATAGAGTTTTTATAACTTAGGTAGGTAATACGTACGCTTGGTCGGACGGACCAACTAGAACTAAACCCGCTAAGTATATACATATTAGTATATCACACATATAAAAAATCTTTACACAGTTTATAGGTATTCCGTCATATAACTACCTCGGTAAAATCAAGAAAATGTAGTTATTAAGAATAACAAAATCATCAAAACCAACCGTTTTAAATCGTAAAAAACCGGTTTATTTCGGTTTTAAACGGTTTTTTGTTTTCGTTTTAAATGGATTGGTTATAAAACCGGCCTTACATCTATAGTTTGGACAACACCACTACCACACTTTCTCACATGAAAAAAATAAAAGGAAGGATAGGGCTTGTTATCGTCTTAACGTCAATAAAATTCACAGTAAAATTATATACCTACTACTTTGTAAAAAGTAATAAACGTAGGATATTATACTAAATGTTATGCGTGCCTATATAACTACTTACATGTACAGTTTTATCCATTTAACTCATGGTATCTCATTACAAATACATTTACATACATGTGTATAAAATAAGTACATACGAGTACATAAGAATATTTGGCAATATCCTACGGAATTTTACTACTACGAGTACACATACAGAGGTTATCTCCGTAATAAATATACATTTCAAATAGGTGTACTTGAGTATTTATTTCAATAACTAGTTAATTTAATGGCAGGCGGCGGATCGAGCTTGTAGATCAATGGTGTACGCTCAAGTTTATCGGAGCAGATGATAAGTCAACTCAGTTTTAATTACATACTTATTAAATACGCCTCGCTTCACCAGTCATAAAGTACTTACAATTAGAAACCATTGGCGATAGTAATTCTGAGAAGTGGACGAATCCAGCCAGTTTCACGTTTACCGCCAGAGTTTTTACTGCTGTGCTGTCGCCCACACTTCAAAACGAAGCACGCCGCTCAGACACATAACTTGGTTTTTACGCTGTAACCCTTTAGAAGGTACCTATAGAAATTTGTGAAATGCCTAAGTAAAAAGACACGTACTCTTTCAAGGATAGATTGATTACTTACGCAGTATAGAGCCACATGCACAGGTGATTAGACCCAAATAAAGATGACTACCGACCGATTGATTAGCCCACCTAGGTGTTTGAACTGTGACAGGTCAATGTCTAAATTGAGGTCGAGACGGTCACTAGGGTGCTTGATATATGTGCGTGTGTACATAGGTATTATATCTCTCTTGCTTAAACTACTACCATTACCACTGTGTGTGACTGGTGCGTACTACAAACGCTTATTGTAGTCGTTATTTGCAATAGCAGAAGTCTACGAGACCACCTAACTCCGCTCAGTGTAGTAGGTACTGCACATTGCATATAACATAAAATTGTGTCATTCGCGTACAACAAAATGGCTTAGTGGTCGATTCGCACAAGCTGAATTTATTAGTTTGCGAATCGACACCTCTAGATTTTTTTTGCGACGATTCGCACACATTGAATTCGCACAAATGAAAATCGACTGCACGGATGGCGTAGTGGTTTAAGCGGTCGCCACGCCGCTCACTACTACGCTGAGTGTTATGGGTCCGATCCCCACATGGGACGACACTTTGTGTGATCCACAAATTGTTGTTCTGAGTCTGGGTGTTCTTTGTGTCCGTTTCATGTATGTTTGTAAAGTCTCCCGCGACACAGGATTTATTCCTAGTGCGGGAGTTGTCTTTTAAAAAAAAAAATTTAATTAAATAAATTTCATTTAAGAAAATGCGAAAAGACATTTAAAAAACCGTGATATTACAAGTATTACATATTCACTCACGGTAAATACATACATAATACATATAAGATTATCAGATTTTGTTATTCGCATTTAATTATATTCTCAGTCCAGAAAATAATTATAAACAGTTAGCGAAGGCTACGAGGCTAATTTTAATTACGTAATATTGTTCTTCAATGTTAGTTTTGTAATTACTTACGGGCTACCTGCCTCAGTTATGTAATAATTATAGGTTATCGAAAGGTATCCGGTGCAAAGCCAGTGACCGGTCCGCCTGACCAATTGGGCAAGGCGACTATACACTTGACCCCGCAAACTCTTAAATTATCTTTTGTTACCTACCTATCGTCTGCGACAAATGTCTACCGTGTCTCGTTGCTAAGAGACCACCTCACGAGCGTCACGAGAAGGTGCGATTGTAAAGCAAAACGTAAATACCTATAGGAAGGAAGATTTTTTCATTTTCCTTATATAGGTATGTAACTAAAGGTCATTATAAAAATAAGATTTGAAAACTTTTCTCAGTACTTGTGGTTTAAGAACCTGTTTTCGATTTTTAACTCTTTATTTAAGTTTTAAGTGTAATATTTTCGTTACTAATTTAAATATTCATCATTCGATTCGAACAAAGTTTGTTTGTGTTAGATGTAAATTTAAAAAATTAGAACAAATTTTGAATTGACATGAATCAAACATGAAAAATACTAAAACCAATATTCAGCACACCTGTAACAAAATCTCTTATATTAAAAATAATAATGATTTCAGTAGACTACGGAACAATATTTAACACGACTCTGACGTTGACGTGACTCAGAGACTATCACCATTCGAGTAATTTGAAAACTCGTAGGTTCTCAGAGAACAGTTCCTTTTACATTTATCGGTCCTACATAACCTGGAATAAATAGAAATGTGAAAGTCTACACTCCATAGATATGCTTCATGCTAAGCAATATAAAGTAGCAGATAGACGCAGCGGTAGGCTATAAACTTCGTTTACCCACTTACGCATGTCTTATAAGTAAGAAAATATCCGGTTAAGAAAACGTGATTGCGAGATAAGTATCTTAGAGAAATGATATTTAAGTTTTTATTAGAAATTCTAACAACAACAACTATTTACGTACAATTCTAAAATTTATTGCTAAAGGTGTACCGCTCAAGCACGCTCGAATAACAATTAAGTAATACATCCTGGTGAATCAGTTTGAACAAATGCCATGCAAACAGATTGTCTGACACAATAGTATCCTATAGAACAACATTAAAGACGGAGCAAGGCTACAGATACAATCAGAGATTTATGTAATTATTCAATAGAGTGTGCGAGCACGAGGCGCATCATGCAGATGGTTGATGGTACTCCGTCGGTCACTGAGTCGCGCCCGCACCGCGTTCCAAGCAACACGCTTAGCGTACGACTGACCACGCTCTACTCCGAAATTCCGAACCTACTGTTCTCAACTAATAATGTTATCCTTAATAGCACACGTAGACCAAGTACATTTCAACAAGGATAGAACGACAAAGTTTTATCAAGCGGCGGCTGTTTCGAACAGTTCTTAATTAAAATATTATGATCGTTGGAGCAATGCAGTACAGCCATGCAGTAATTTTAATCTTAATCAGATAAAGATCTGTAAATAATTGGTAGATTTAAGAGATATTTAGCTCTTGAACGTTAACAGGGTGTCGCACAGTCAATTGACCTTCATGAGATGTATGTGTACTACGAGCAATGTAAACCTTTGTAAATTTATGTACCTGTATATAGTCGTGTAGTCGTACTGCACTTACTATAATGGGTAGGTGGGATACCATAGCTCGCACTCTCACGTTGCTAATACGTTAGTGTATCTGTACCAACCTCTGACCTGTCTATAAATAGAACTTGTCCTCGATGCGTTCTATGAACAAATATTCATTACAGTATGATGTGAACAAAACGATATAATATGGCACCCATCCTGGAATACTCTCAACACGACAATTTATCAAAGGAAGTAGCTGATTTGCATTTTTATGAACGAGTAAGGTGAAATGAAATCATCACCATTAGTCATTTTTATTTTAATACTACATGCATAACATTCGATAACCATATCTACTTATCAAATAATGTTTGGATATGAAGGTGTCAGTATTTTCACGATAACACTAGTGTAACTAAGTATCGTATTTCTTCAATATCCTAAAACATTTGTACAATACAATACAAAACCAAATACATTGAATGTGTAAACCAAACCATGTCACTTCATGGATAAAATAACATTTTTTCAAATGTCACATATAAAGCACACTAACTATAGGCACAATGTGTTGGTTCTGTCTTCCTAGACAATAATTGTAATAAGACAATAGTAGTTAGTTACGTTTTCATCGTCATCAATAGTCTTTAATACTGTACAGCTAGACATAGGCTTCCCCTATAAAGGAGGTTTTGGCTTTGGTGTAGTGTTTGTTTCAAGTTTTCCTGCAGAACTGCAAAGAGAGGAGTAACTTATCCTGCGTAGTTTGATCCATTAGTCGGCTCTTACGACACCCATGGAAGTAATAGGGGTGGTGACACTACGTAATTTTAATTAGTCACCACACGAACAGTAGTTACGAATTCTGTCATCATAAATATTTATTATGTTTAACATAAGATTATATCACTAATATTTCATGTAATATTAAGAGCTACCAATAGAATTACACTAATAGAAGCATAGGCTGTGCCAGTAGCCTAAATTACTTTAAGTTGAGTATAGGGTACAAGATTTTAATGGTAAAATAAAATAAATTTGTAACTTCATAGTTCACCTTTTTACCAATATGACCTTAACACCTATTTGATGAATCACATTTAAACTTTGCACCCATCTGCTCCCTCCTCTCCACCCTTCTTTTTTATCACAGGTGGTCACGTGGACAAACTAATTGGGACGGCACGTAATTGACTGATAGAATACTTATTACTTTGTTTTCTAAATACATACATATTATACAAAGAAAACACAGAAACTCTGAAACAAAGTTGTTATTTTTATTGCATTTTAAAACAAACCCTATTTTTCACTTGTATGCCAATTTACATAATTACAGATTTAGAATTAAAAAATTTATGTTCTGTAAAGTTCAATAAATGTCAGATCCGACACTATTTTACGACTATGACGATTTGGTCCGACCCAGGAATCGAACCCGAGACATCAGCACAGCAGCCGCATACACGCTACGCTACGCCACGCTTCTACTGCACCAGCGAAGCAGTAAAAACGGTAGTTTTTTTCTCTCTCTCTCTCTCTCTGGTAGGTCTCTTACGACTGAAGATCGTGGTCAGCATCTGGGACACACCTGGGACGGATGATGTCTCTCCATCGGTTTCTGTACAGCGCGTCTCTCAAGACCTTGTATAAATTGAGTCTGATTGAGTGAGAATTTAATTTAGTCGGTCCACCTGGTCGGTGAACAACTGCGTGATCTTTTGCATTCGATGTTCCCAACCACAATCAGTCTTTCACCGCTTCCGTGCAGTGTGACCGAAAAAAGGATGCGTTGTTGGCATATGGCGGACAAGCCAGTTTTAATTCGGAGTTGAGTCCGGATTGATACATTAGTGGGTTTCGCGGTCCAAGGAATTCTTAGTCTCCAGCACCACATATCGAATGCATCAACCCTTTGTCTTCCACTGCTCAGAATTGTCCACATATCAACTCCATACAGGAAGATAGGGAATACCAGGGCTCGTACTACTCTATTCTGGTTTTGAGACCAATTCCGCTTTTCTTTCAGATGTTGTTTAAACGAGTCATAGCATCTTTTGCCATCCGGATTCGCCTTTTTATCTCGGGGATACAACTACCGTCATGGCAATTGCATTGTTTCCAATTCATAAATAAAGCTCGTGGTTTCATTTAGGTGAAGGTAGTACGAGTACTTCCACAATTGAGCTTCTCTTCTTCTCGGCTAAACCGATTGACAAATACAACATCGTGTAACAGTGTTCCCACGTGATATGGTCCAAGGACATTAACTTTTATCACGGCACCGATGATAATATTCATTGTTTACAATACTTAGCTCCACCATTAATCAACATCGTGAATTAAATTAATTACATACAGATGATAACATTACACGCCAATATCAGTAACGCTTGAACTTTACCATGCATCCACACAACGAGGCAGGTATTTAATTCATATTACAATACTTATATCACACCTTAATCATTTACTTCCTCATACCAATTGGTAAATGTGCATTTCACTGACTATTTAGTAATGCACTTCGGAAATGAAAAGTCCATCGAGGGATGCGTATCTGGTATCAACTGGGCGGTGCTTGTATCAAGTTACGTCTTCCCTTCACGTATAAAAACAGAAATCCTACTCGAGTTACGCACATTAAGTGTTCGGTGTTTGAGTGGACGGATAAGTGCGAGATGTTAAAGTAATAATATAAAATATAATAAAACATTATATTTACATTTTCAGGGAGATCAATATGTTAGTTAACAAGGCTGTTCAATTCGCCGTGCTAGCAGCAGCGGTGCTGTTGGAAAGCACGACTGACGCAGCCACATCTGCCGCCGTAAAAATCTGCGGTCGTCAACTCAGTGAATTTATGAGCAAAGTCTGCCACGCTTACAACAGTCCTTCCTGGGATGTACCTACAGGTATTTATTTAATAAATACTCTTCACACAGGTTGTCCCTAGGTTTATTGAAATAGATAAAGCAATAAATAGGAAAATATAGTCACTACATATTCCATATATAATACTTGTGCTCTTTATTAATATAAACTATATTCATATTAATATTTATGGTATGATAACAATTAATTTAGTTAATTAAAGGCCTGTAGATTTTAATAAAGTGTGTGTCTTTTCAAACACGTAACAACTTCGTCTAAGTTGTTGTCAGATTTTTAATTTCGTACGAAATTTAACAAATTCCAACATAAGTTACTACTGTAACAATCTTAGTCGTAATACTTTGCCCTTTAAATTTGTTACACAAACTACGATCATGATTTTTTTAAATGGCAAAGTCAACGATTCCTATTTACCTAGGCAATGTTACAGCTTTATAGCACTATCACTTTCTGAGTTAAGCTGCGCACAGATCAAGGGTCCGACAGACAGACATGACGAAACTGTACCAATATATTGTTAGGAATACAAAACAGTTAAAACTGGATATAATAGATTTTCCTTATTTTGGGATAAAACAAACTGTACTATCTTTAAACTCCTCAAAACAAAAACCTAATTCGAGTTTTGTAACAATCAGCGTATTCTATAAGTAAAATATTAAAAACAAGCACTCCGAAGAGTATAACAGTGTGAACTAAGCCTATATTTGATATCCGGAACGCAACATCAATGTTATCTTTATCATTGGTATTATTTAACAACACACCACTAAAGGTCGGACAAAATTTGATAGAAACATAATTACTTTTTAATGCCTAACAATTTAACATTCTTAACCTTTTGACCCTTCGATCATACCATTGAAGTTTGTCCTCATGAAGATAATCAATTAATCAATTCCGACTCGAATTTATTTAATGCCTAGAAAAGGGTATGTGATCTTCCAGCAAATGAACATTTTTTTTTAGAATTATAGTTATGAACACACTCCATACAGTTTTTTCATGTTTCAAACCAATAGTCGGTCCATGCGTTTGGGAGCAATGGTGCAACATTAAACTTAATGTTAAATATATCTTCGCACGGGTGCAACGTAGATACTACTAATGTGGTGTCAGTGTGGAGTAACCCATGTACCCGAGTAAGTCCGCTCCCGGCTCCTATCCTGCCCACCGCTGACACCCAGGATAGACGTATGGCTCGACAGTCGTTGGGCCCCCGCATTTTAAACCTTTAATATCATCTTAAATATTCATTTTAATGATATGATGTATCGAGCAATTTTAATCTACATTAAATGCACAACGGATTTAACGTCTTTAATTGGATAAGGAATAATAACGTATTGTTTAAAATAACTTCGTAAATAACTTATTATTTTTTGTAACATTCAAAAATTTAAAAATGGTTACTGTGGTTACTGTGGTACCCTTAGGAGGTAGACATATACCATTTTTGTAGATCTTTTTAAGATTTACTGTTCCGTACATTATTTTGGTCTATCTCATAAAGATTAGCCAGCGTTTGCATGTTTTTTAAGACAAATCTTTGAAATTCTCGGATGTTCTCCACTATAATATGCTTGTATTATATACATAAACCTTCCCCTTGAATCATTCTCTCTATTGGTGAAAACTGCATTAAAATCAGTTGCTTAGTTAAAAAGATCTAAGCGTACAACACAAAAAAGCGACTTTTTTTATACTATGTAAAGAAGCACCCACCTCTGTGTTTTGTGTAGAGTTATAAAATTTAATAACATATTAAGAGTGTATATAGCATTTTGATAAAGCAACAAAGTACTGTTACACTCACAATAGTTATTTAATAATTTTGAATCACTGCAACGCGTCAATTTCAACCAGCATTGCAAAAAATACGGTAGTAGATAGTCAGTTATATGTGCAGTAATAAGAAATTTTATTTTTTGGACATGGAAGTCATGTATTTGTAACTGTATTTTTAATGTAAAACTGCTCTATAAATGAAGCTAGCACTGACATTGCCAAAGTAGCCTATACCGTTCAACACTGTTCGACTTATGCGTAAATAAGTATGACAGTAGGTAGCTGTTTATATATACTGCTAACTTAAGTACTAACTATTAACATATCTGTGCTCGCAGGAAAAGAAAGATTAGGTTATACACTAGGAAGGCCCACTGCCGTCTGCAACACAGGAGTCCTCAAATCTGATTCTTAGGTACTTACTAAAATGTGACAAATATTTAAATTACATGTATTTAACTTGATAGGTTTCTAACGGTTACATTGTTTAATCTATATATTGGGAGTGTAAACATGTTTCGGTGACAACATTGCCGCCTTATTCCTCCTTTCGACGAACCCACTTGGTGGTATACTTAATTACAAGTGTACAATGACACGGCCTATGTGTAAATATTATTTGTTTATCGTCTTTATCACTCTTTGACTCGTGTGGACTTGTAATCGTGGGAAACAGTTATTTTCGTTAATTGAGTAAAACAAAGTAATAAGTACCTATAATATGTATATCTACATATAAATGACCTTTACTTTTGAGTTTTAAGTAGCTTTTTACAATATTTTAACATTTAATGTCACCTATCTATCACACTACTATCCTTAATGCGAAAAGTAAGTGAGAAGATCGATTATAATGTTTTTCGCTTTAGGAAGTTATTCAAACACATATTTTAGCATAATCGTATTAACTATAGAACATTCGTTCAATTAGCATACTTCTATACTATCCAAATGACGATTCTATAAAATGTTACTGAACGCAGGTACTATATTATTTTATTTTTGTTTACTACATTTATACTTGCAGTACGTTCATCGCTTAAGATATTTTTATATCACAGAATAAAGATGAGATTACATTACATAAAATTGAAAAAACACATATGGTAGCAAATTAACTGCATTATAAATACTATAATTTAACGTATGTACTAAATTTTGATTCGGATTTACAATTTTGTCGATCAGTTATTCTTTGGGAACAACTTTTCTTTTTCGCAATGAAAGGTGACATGATGCTAAGAATGGAAAATTATTTTTGTGTAGACGCATCTATGTATACATTATTATGTGGGGTAGCCTAGCCTTAAATTTATAGTAATAATCGCTGCTTTGCTGAACTACAAGTTTGTTCTCATTAAGTTCTAAAATTTTTATACCAAGTACCAACGACTTCTAAAAATTAACCTTTAACTAAAATATAAATTTCATATAATTTTATACATTAAAGTTATTTCCATACACATTATAGTTCTATCACTGCATATATTTTCTTGAAGCTTTCCTAAAAAAAAACAATGTTCTCACGCTCTCCTTAGTATATGTTATGGGAATACTACAAATAGGACTGAGTTAAAAAGTTGCGTATATATAGGATGTATATCATTAATAAAGAACAATGGCAGAAACATATTTACCTAAAACTTAAGCGTTTAAAAAATCGAGTCACAGTAAACTTAATCAAAATTTTTTCTATGATTTATCATTACACCACCATGTGTTGTATAAGTCTTATAAGAGATAAGATATTTTTGAAGATTTTAATTGACCTAAGTACGTAATGTCAGATTCGCCATCACGTATAACTGACTAGGGATGCTTGGTGGCAATATTATATTATGGAACAATTTATCGATAATCGATTCTTATAGCTTTGGCTGAAATATTTATCGAAGGTTCACTATTATGATTATGAATTTGCTTCTGCCCACGTCTTCACTCGTACGGTAGAGTGACTGAATAAACATAATTAGAAATGATTTAAAATATATTTGACTCTCTTTAAACGATTTTAAACACACTAAAGAAATAGAATATAGTTACGTTATTTTCCACTACACAGTGTGATGAGAAAAATACATTGTCATTGATAGACACATAAATAGACATACATCGATATTTTCAAAATGTCGATACGTCGTCGTTTAGTACATATCTCTTAATCTGTGGTTTAGATCCTGTCAAGTTCCGGACTCACCACGTTTGTTATTTTATTTTTGTTTAATTTAGTGTTAAACTCGAATAGATGTTATGCTTTTATTTTTTTTATTTCATATACTGTAATAATAATGAAAATAATATTTTCGGCTATCTGACACACAACGCCATCTAGTTTCAAACAAAACATTAACAATATGTTAGTACTTAACCTCGAAACATTCAAAATCCAATATCTTTTTTCCTAGACTTCTTTCGCAAGTAATTTTGATATGAGAATGGTCAAGAATAAATTCTCAAGTGTTAAGGATTTTTTGATATTTAAACGCTAACATTTCAGTTCAAATAAAATTATGTATGGGGACCTGCCATTGTCCTTTAAGTATTTTGTAGGAATATACACTCTAAAAACTAGATTATTTTCGTTTTGATGGGAATCTCCATTTATTCGTAAAGTATGAAATATTAATAAAGAGAAGTGATTGTTTCAAAAAACATACCGTTATTACGTTACAATAGTCCACGGTCGTTATGAAACATATTTATATCAAAGGTATATATTGATTTAACCTCAGTTAGAAACAAAAGACAAAAACATTCAGGCAGATTATTCCTTATTGCGTCATGCGCTCGCAGTTAGGTTCTCCGCCTCAAATGTGAGAACATGTGTAATGACAACACTCCTAAAATCGTCAGTTTCTTTAAAAACATTATTTTAATAAGTAGAATACCTAGTTATAAATTCTTATTTTGGCAACTGCTAATAAATATTTACCAGTTTGCCGATTGACGATTTAAAATGTTTACCAGTATCACTTAACATCCTTATGGAAATACTTGACTTCTGGCATCTTCTGATCATTGCATCGTCAAGAGAAGATAGTTTTTGAACTTTTAAGTAGTATTTAAAAATTATATTATTTTGGTTATGTTTGAACCACAGCTAATGTGAAATTCACCGTCAATCACCGTCATTTTACTACCCTTATGGCTGGCCGCTTATTTAACGCCAACTGCCCCTACATACATGCTGTTCATTTAACGTTATTCAAGTCCAGAACGCCACGGCATGGTTTACACACACTAGGCCAGTATTTACTACATTTACCTTCGTTCTAGCAATACCAAATGCATTAGTCATAAGGCTACATTACTGAACATAGTAAACACCCTGAAACTGAAAAATTCTCCACTACTAACAGGTTAACTTATGTTAGTATTAGGTATATTTTTTTGTTAGTATTTATGGCTAAGTGGACAGGAATAGACGGAAATCACTAAACTTTTCTGTTATTTTTATAAAATTATGTCATAAAAACGAATCGTTTCTTCACTTACCATGAGAATTGTCGTATTATTCATACATTTGCAGACAGTAATTTTGTAGACAGGCTGGCTTGTAGCCTGTCTACAAAACAAAGAATTTCCCCGGTCCCAGCGGATCAGCTTAACTGAAAAAACTGACTAGAAAATGTAATGCTATGGCTAATTCTCAATCCACTTCACATCACAAGTATATGTCAGCCATAATAAATGTAAAAAAACATTTGATAAACGTGATAACAGACGTACAAAAGTACCTAAGTTTTTTTCCACAAGGAAGTAATTGTGTCAAGGAAGTCATAAGTATTTATATCTGATGCTAAAGAAAATAAACATTTGTTTGCCTGATTTTTACAAAGATTAGAGTGCTTGGAGTTTTCTGTCGTTGGCGTATATTTGCTTCATTTATATGTTTGTGGTAATAGCGATTCATAAAATTTGATGTTATACACTATTCTATAGAAACGCTGAAGAATAAATGAGTTACCTAATTAAAAATGTTGTTATTTCAGTTGTTGAACAGCCTGGTGGAGTAGCACGGAGAAGAAGACAAGTAGGCATAGCTGATGAGTGCTGTATCGTTGGATGTACTTTAAACCAGCTCAACGAATACTGCTCTATTAGTGCCTTGTAAGTAGCAAAACATTAGTATTAGTAGTACACAAGTAGATAATTAATTAAAGCGAAACATGTAACATAAGAAGGAAAACTGGAAACAGCCCTATTAATAATGTAAGATGTACCTACAGGCACGTCTAGAAAAAAAATCCTAGGTTTAGCATTCAAAGGTTTCCATGATCCTTCGTTCAAAATTTAAGACTGCATTTTAAGTTTACGATATGTGTTTTATTTAGCCATCCTTTTTTCCAAACTAAGATAACTCTATACATAATAATATATTCGTGCTAGGTGAATTGTACCGTAGGGATGTTATGGAATAAACTATCTGGAATTAACTATATGGAATGAATTACATAGAAAAAATGGAGATAGATATAATCTATAATAATAATAATATGATAATATATCTCACACACCTCACACACGGCCGTCTGATCCCAAACAAGTCAGAGCCTGTACTATGGTAACCAGACTGCTGATAAACATACTAATATATATTTAAATAGATACATTATAGACAAATCACATCCAGACACAGAACAAATGACTGTGCTCATCACACAATATTTGTCCTGGGTGGGAATCGAACCCACGACCTCCGGTTTAGCAGTCAGGGTCACTAACTCCTAGACCAACAGGTCCGTCCTATTCAGGCCCAGGCTATTCCTAGTTACATATTGCTCTTCTAATAGGAGGCTAATGATTCCACTAATGATTGACAGTTCACAATCACCACTAGAAGATATGGAAGCTCACATAATTGCAGACCGGTCAGCAGAGCAAGGAGCGTCGGAGTCGAAAGACGCAGGTCCAGCAGAGGCAGTGGCACTACCTGCGGTAGGCAGCGCGGGGCATGCGGCAGGGCATGCGGCGTGGCGGCGGGGCGCGCAGCCTCACAGTCACGGGGAAGGGCGCGCGCGCCGGGACCGCAGATGTTGGTGCCGGCGCAAGCGCCGCTCGGGTCGTCGGCGATCCTCTCTCATGGGTAACATGGTGTGTCTGTACATCGTCGTCAACTTATTCTCTTTAGCGAAGCTAATTTTAAAGATGAAAAATGTGTATGTGTAAACTATGAGCTGCAAACATCTGATCTCAAGAAAATATATAAAAGAAATATACAAATGCTCATGCTATATACATATGATAATATAAGATTCATGCAAATCTTATCTTAAAATAGACACAGTAAAGAACTTTCATTTTTTAAGAGAATACGAAGGCGATGACTAACTAACCCTCATACTAATGCTTCATGAATGTTCTCTAATAATTCAGTAACAAGTCTAATAAATTATTACGTAACGGAAAATGCATGTATCAGTCCATCAATATCTAAGTGGACATGCCTCATTATCAGAAGGTGATGTAACATATACTTGACTATTGGTGACAAATACTAACCGATATATAGCAGTAGTTATTACATAAAATACTAGTTAACTGCATGAACTTATATACGTTTACTTTTAACAGGGTGTAGGTATTAGCTTAATCAATAATAGGTATATCACACATCCTATTCTTAGGTATTTTCTGCAACTTTCGTGATTCACGAATGCTTTTGTATGTTAACGACCCATGGCCATTTTCTAAAACAGTATCAGGATTAAGAATAAAAGTAACACGTCAACAGCTCGTGTAATGCACGCTCGCCATCGTCGAATCCGTATGGTAGAACCAGTAGATAAAGGTTTATCAACCTGCATATTTTCTATATTGTTTATATTTTCTTCTATCCACGTATCGTCATATACCAGATCTAGATAGTCTAGATAATCTTACATCCAAATGCGCATAAAACCTATTCAATTTAATTTTTAATACAAAATGGTTTCTGCACAATTTAGCTTAAAAAAGCTTTTCGTTGGCAACTTAAATGGATTGTCAACTTAGGAATTAGCGGCTTTGTACTATTTTGGTACTCTATTCTATTTACAACTAAATTGATGTAACTAGTTAACGTGTAATAGTAAGTATTTCTTTATAGTAGTATTTGGTTTAGGCATATTAAGCAAACCGACTATTGATGTATCTTGGGCACTGGTATACAACTAATAAAGTTGTTACCTTATTACCTAACAAATAGAATGCGCTAATCTTTTGCTTGTTGGTATGGTGGTTACGGTACTATGATAAAATCCTAACTTTTTTGTTACTAAAAACGTTTATAATTTATTATTTTATGTATACATTTTTGGTATTAGTTTAAAAACTAACAATCGATTTTCATTATGTTAGAAGCTTACCTGGAGCTATAAAATTAGCAAGCAAGCAGGTTTGGAAGCAATTGTTTTGTTATACTTATTAAAAATCGATAGCATCTCAGTCTTTATTAGTGATGTGCCGAGTCGCTGTTTTGGTGGATCGAATCGACTCGAGTCGGTTTATACGGTATTCGAATCATGACTCGATTCCGCGATTCGAGCCCAGTACTCGAGTTCTATGTTTGGTATTCGAATGTTAACTCTAGTCCAGGACTCGAGTTTAAGACTCGAGTCTAGAAATTCGAGTCATGAACTCTAGTCTGGAAATTCGATCTAGAACTTGAGTCTAGAAATTCGGGTCCAGAACTCTTCTCCCCTAGGATAGGGCCTGATTAGGCATGGTGTCAATTCGGGGAGGACCTGAAATAACATGGTGCGAGTCCTCCCCAGAGTAGGACACCTGAGACCGGCCGTCGGGGAGGTTTTTAGTGGAATCACCACATACTCCTGGATCATAGTCCCCGAGGAGCAGGAGATCCGAAGGGATTTTCATCCCCAACAACAAAAAAAAAAGGCGTCACATCATTGCTTATGTAAACAGATATCGAGTACGAGCGAGTCAACCTAACTCGTTTGCTAGATTCGAGTCACATGGAATCGCTAAACAGAATCAAGTCAGCGAGTACAAATTCGATTCTTCCTGACTCGAGTACCGGAATCGAGTCCGGCGTACTCGAATCAAAATAAATTGGTATTCGAATAAGCGAGTCTAAAGCAGGAATCGAGTCTGACTCGAGTCAAGCCCTACTCGGCACATCGCTAGTCTTTATGTGTACAAACATTATAAAGACTGATACAGCCTCGTAAAAATCTATTCACTGCGTTTTGCTAGGTATAATAAAATCTATCTATTTATCTATAACTATTAATCTTTTCAAGAAGGCCAAACGCTTTATTACGTCTAAATCCTATTCAGGGTCACCATTAGTCAAGCCGCAGACTGCCCTGTTGTAGTTTGATAACAAAGAAAACTAAAATATGTAAATACCAATAATATTAATATTCATTGTTACAGGGCCTCGTAAAAAATGCAGTGCATCGCGCTGCGCCCGTAGTGGGCACCATATCACCACTCATCACATGGGGGCGGACTCTCAACACTGACCCCTCCGCCAGTCGCAACAACTACGCATACGTCGTCTACACGTAAAAAGACTGGTCGTACCTACGTCTTGACGTCGTCTGAATAAAAACAGTCTATTGTATGAGACCAAGTGCTGGGTACAATTTTTTAGTGTTCATTATGTTATGGCCATTTATATACGTATCTTTCTTAAGTATTCTCACCTATTGCAATGATTATTAGAATAAGAGACTTTCAGCGACAGGTTTTAGGCTGTACTTTAGACATTCTGCCAATCCAATGTATGAACACACAATTTTAGGAATACGTTATACAGAAATACTTATAAAAGATCATGTTATACACCAATTCCAGTGAAGCTATATATGTGGATATTTCTATTGACCCACTTTGAATTTTTCCAAAGATTAGATTTATATTATTTGAAAACAATATGTTCAAGTACGAGTATTAATCAAATTTAAATGTTATTGAAAGCAAAAGAGGAAGGGATATAGATATGTTTTAATAAAATAAATACTAGTAAAGTAAAATATTTATTAGATGCAATATTCATTACAATTGTCATAATAGACACAATCATTAATTTATTTTTGTCTAAGATTTGTACCTATATACTACCAATAATTCTCCTACCATATAAGAATTAACGATCTCTAAAACATCTGTGATAACTCCAACTGATAAAAATAAATCATTAATTTATCTTTTTTAGTTATGTCAGCATATTAGTAGAGTGTGTCTTTCTATTTTAGAATGTGTATGCATTTAATTATTAAGTAGTTCTACAGGATGGATGACTATTGGCAGACAAGATTTCCTAGACTGCAATCAAACAGATAACGTATATTTATTATACGCTTAACAGTCTAATTATTAGATTGTCTATTGCTGGATCATACTGCTAATGTGACGGAACTGACTGACTAGAAGAATGCTGTATTAAAATTTTCATTATTTATTAAGTCTTTCATTGTCCATATTCTGTACAAAAAAGATTTTAAACATGGGGCAGTTTTTATCCTTAAACAGACTACTATTAGATCAGACTAGACTAGACTTTAAATGCAATTCCTAAAGACTTTACCTCAGATGACTAATTAATTTGATTACATTGATCACACGCTTAAAATGTGTTAAGATAAGTGCTTAAAATGATCTTAAGTGTGACGGCGAAGTCACTGTTACTACCTTTAAAGACCGCATCCGTTAGATTGACAGAAAACGAGACTTTTCAGGTATTAATAGCTTATGAGCAGAGGCGGGCGAATTTTTTTGTTGTTAACGGGGTGGAAATTCTGGAAAAATGGAAAATATGTGGTGTTTCCTCTAAAAACCCGCCCGACGTCCGGTCTCAGACGCTCAACTCCGGGAGGACTTGAACCATGTCAGCCATTCAGGTCCCTCCCGTATTAACGCGGCGCCTAACTAGATCTTATTCCAGGAGATGCTGCAGGCTTTCCCCGCCTTTTGGCCCAGTTACTACCTGTTTTGTGGCCCGACCGTTTAGATACGGCAAGGGGACAGATCTCGTCCGATTCGATTTACCAGGACCTCTCGTTTAGGTTTTCAAGGTTAGGCAGAACGGCACCAACAGCGCACATTCCACCACCATCAGTGCATGTGGGTGAGTGATTCGCCGCAAGTCGAGCCCGTCCTGAACCTCCCCGCTACCACCCCGGCGGATAGCACGTGTCTCGTCGTAGACCTTAGTGTCCATACCCGCCAGGATATCCAAAGGCACCAAAAGTGCCAGGACTGTCACGATGCACCTCCGACGGTGCGGGATACGAATAGCCGCTACCCGCTGCGCTTGATTGAGCTGAGTTCGGCAGCGGCAGGAGGCCAATAGGCGCTTAGTCCATATGGGAGCTCCGTAGAGGGTCATGGATCGTACACCGCACAGTATAGGCGGCGAATTTCCTCCCACGGATACCCTAGATTAGACATTATACAGGAGAAATTACACACATGCATATACAGGGTTACTGGGTTACTGGTCGACCTAGATACTTTAAGATGTTGTAGTTGCCATCGTTTCTGATAGATTTCATTATGAAACACCATATCCCAAACCCAACCATTTTCAATTTCAAGACATTGGACTTTTAAGATTTTCTATGTAAATGGCTCGCATGGGCTCGTAAAAATTAAGATGCTTGTCCAATACAACACAAGTCCAATATCTTGAAAAGGTTAGGTTTGGGATATGATAATTCATAGCAAAATCTATCAGAAATGATGGCAACCACAACCCCTTAAAATATCCAGGTCGACTAACCCAGTAACCCTGTACATGTGTGTAATTTTGAGCTATATATTTAAACCATTTTAAGTACATTTTAATTTGTTTGCCACAAATCAAAATCTGAGTAAGACGAAGAAATAATTTTAAGACTATCTTTTCATTACCTTCAACTTCCTTAATTTGTTTATTCACATTTATTTAATAACAAATACAATATTAAATGCTATCTTGTTAGTCATATGATGTTGTTTCATACAATTCGGTTAAATCTAGATCATTACAATCACGCAAGTCCTTAGGATGTGACTTAGCCTCAGAGTCCATTTTATCAAAATAATATTTTTTCAAAAGCACATACTTGGTAACTAATATTACTAGTACACAGACTGCTAGTCATAGCGGCCCTTTGTTATTGTTGTTTGATTTATCTGCATTAGAATCTCTTTGCGAACTTTTTTCTCTTACTGGAAGCACCTGAAACCTTATATTGTTGCCTTTTATTCGCTTCTGAACTATTCTACCCATTGACTTAACATGGTTTTCAATTACTGAGTAGATTTTTTCCTGTAAACAAAAAGATGCACAATAAAAAAAAACTAATTTCACAAATAAACATGGAGATTCCTTTAAAATATATGATAGTATAATTTAGAATTTATTCCTCAGTCGTCTCTTACATTTAAGTATAGCAGTTTTTTTTTAAATCTGAATTCTTTTAATTAATTAGTAAGGAATTAGGTGGTAAGTATTAAATTCAAATTAATATAATGGTATATCTAACTTTTTAATATCCAACAATAAACTTGAGAAATATAAGAGATGGGACACTGATCTAGTAAAAGTGGATGGAAAGCTATCAAATCAAGTGATATATATTAAATTGATTAGACTACAAATCCTTGGATGAGGCCTTTTTTTTTTTCCGTGCGGAAATCTCCTCGGATACCACCTGTCGGTGGCATGTCGGGAGAGTCCTAAACCTCTCCCGGTCCCGCTCCGCCGTCTCCTTCGCGAGCATAACTTGCTCGCAGAAGGAGACGGCAGCGTTCCACGCACTCTCGCTCCGCACGATAGCCGCAATCAGGCTATCGAGCGAGAGAACTTCCACTCCGATGGCCGCCACGAGGTCTCGCCTCTGCTCAACCCACGCCGGGCACTCCGTGTCCACGGTCTGGCCATCGCAGTGGTGGCACTCAGGCGTTGGCTCCTTGCGGATCAGACACAGGTGATCCCCGAAACATCCCTTCCCAGTGATCACCTGCGTCAATCGGTATGAGAGGGTCCCGTGACGCCTCTCCAGCCAATCCTCCATAACGGGTCTTACCGCCGCGATGACCTTGGATGAGGCCTATGTGAAAGGTAAAACAGATAGTGAAAAACGAATTAAATTTAAAACAACTATGTTTACCAGTGTTTCTGAGGATTTAGCATCCTCACCAGCTAAAATAACTTTCACTTCATACTGCTTCTCAACAAGTTTTATCATCTTCTTTACGCCTGTCATGAGGTCGTGGTCACTAATTCTTGATGATAGTGTTAGCAGTTTTTCACCCTTATTATTGCTCTGCCGGGATGTTTGTTTCTCTTTCCTTTTTGCCAGCTCTTCTGCATGATACTCAGTATTTGTCATTAGCCTGGAACAGAATAATTTATGTTAAATATATTCACACCCTAAGATACATTGAAAAAGAGCTGAAAGTGGCTTACACTATATTTTATCTACACCTTACAGCAACTCCCGCTCAGGGTCATTCCTCATACAGGGATTCAGGCCATTGCCATTTACACCAGAAGCAACCAAAAGGTTGCTGGAATGGTGGGGTGGGTTGCTGTTTAGGTTTAGTTTTGTCATTTATTATATTTTGTATTATTTAAGGCATAATTTATATATGGCCTAATGTTTAACACTAAACATTTTAAAATTAATTATTTTATAAATTAGATAGATAATACTTTATTTGTACACCAGGGTTTTACAGCCTTTATAAAGTTATTAAACATAAATCAAATTTAATGTACAAAGGGTAACCTTATCGTTTAGAGCAATTGCATAAATAATATTTCATAATTTAAATGGGACAAATAATTGTGTGATGAGCATGATCATTTTTTTCTTGTCTGGGTATGTATTGGTATTGGTTGTGGGCCCAGGTTTCCGCTTTTAAGACTCAAGATGGTCCTTTATGCGTCGAGGACAGATGGGCTAGGTGAGCTAACCAAGCTCCTTCCAGAAGCGCAGGAGCCTCCTGGGGCGTTCACAGGCCTCTAGGAGCGATTTTGTATCAGGAATGATACTTGCCTGTTGTGTGGCGACACCTTCGCATTCAAGGATTACGTGGGCGGCCGTTTCTTCTGCATTCAGACAACCTCTGCAAAGAGGACTGTCCGTCGCATTAATGGTGAATAGTTGTTGGTTCAGGGCTAGGTGTCCTGTTATGGTTCCTACAACTATTCGGATATCTAGTCTACTAAGACTGATGAGTCTGCAAGTGGGTTGTGGTAAAACTTCAGTCAACACCAGTTTAGACTGTCTGCAGCCTGGTAAGTTTTTCCACCTTCGGTTTTGTGCTTCACGAGTAGGCTGTCTAACCTAGGATCAAAGTTGGTTAAAAGGCAGTGGCAGCAGTATGGTTGGGCTGGTGGCCAGGGTTACTGAGATTCCTTGCACACTCATCTGCGGCGTCGTTCCTGTGTAAAATTTAATCCTTTAATCCATTGGATCCCCCTTTTATTTTGGCAAGCTGCTCCAATGCTTGATGGCATTCGAAGACAATACCAGAGGTCATTATGTTGCCCTCCAGTGCCTTTAGGACGGTCATGCTGTCTGACAGTATTCAAATGATTTAGTCCTTAATGCCCCTGGACATGGCCGTTGTGGCGGCGTAAGTTATTGCCACACATTCGCATTGGAATATGGAACTGTGTTGACCTGACCTAGCGCTAGTGATATATTCATATTTAGGTCTTGCGAGAAAACTCCGGCTCCAGTTCCTGACCTTCGTTAATGGCTGATTGATCTCGGTCATTTTCGTGTACCTGAATCTGGTATCTTATGGTGTTTTGGGATTCTATCGCATTTGGCTGCTATTAGTGGTTCGTATTCTACTAATTGATTCCATAGTTTGGAGTGCGATCCCTCACCTTTATGCCACAGACCCAGGTGTCTAAGTCTGATGATCGCCATGCCGGCCTCCTGCTGTATGAACAAATCCAGTGGGGGCAGACAAAGGGCCACCTGCGACAGTTGGCGTTGTGCGCATACAGCCAGTGACCGCAGAGCATGGCAGTCACTGGAATTGCTGCAATTTGTTTATGACGGTGCTTAGCTCTGTTTTCTGCCATCAGACAATAGAGAGACTGTAGAGCCATAGTGTAATCTTTGGTGATAGTCCCCAGCTTTTGCCGAGTAGCCGTTTGCATTAGCAGAAGACAATGCAGGCTTTATCTGTTTTTTCATTGAGGCGCTTATTCCACAGAAGTTTACTATCCAGTATTATTCCTAAGTATTTGACCTCTTCGGTAAGAGCTAGTTGCGTTCCAAATAGCTTGGGAAGTCTGAGATTTCCTAGACTATGTTTGTTTTGTGAACATAAACATCTCTGTTTTCGACGGGTTCACTGTCAAGTTGTGTGTTACACACTACTGTTCAACGATCTCCAGTGCAAGTCCCATTTGATCACATGTAATTCTCTCAAAGGGACCACTGATAAGGAAAGTCAGATTGTCTGCATAGCTTATTGTGGAGAATCTTCAGTCATTGAGTTTTGTGATGAGTTCATCCACAACTATGTTCCATAGAAGGGGAGAGATTACACCGCTTTGAGTTCATCCTCTAGCTATCACCCCTCTAGTCACTTCGCTCCCAGTAAATTGAATAACTCTATATCTTAGCATGCTGTTGATCCACTCTGAGATTGTGGAATCAACACCATGTCTAGACAGAGCTTGGCTAATGTTGGTGAAATAGGTTTTGTCAAAGACACCCTCGATATAGATGAAGGTGGAAAGTGTTGACCTTTTGTGTTTTAGATTGCCTTCTATATGTGATACAACTCGATGTAGAGCAAATTCAGTTGATTTTCCCATCGAGTAGGCGTGTTGGTGGTAGTGTAAGAGGTAACTGACTAACGCAGTGCTCCTAATTTCCCTATCTATTAGCCTCTTGAGACCCTTTAACAAGAAGGATGTGAGACTGATAGGTTGGTGAGATTAGGGTTGTGTGTATTTACCAAGTTTGGGGATGAAGACTACTTTAAAGTAGTTCTCTCCATTACAAGGGGATGTAATGGTGCACCAGGCAGCCTTTGTAAATTTTGACAAGGTGATCCAGTAGTATCACATCACACCATCTCAGTAGGCCAGGGAAGATACCATCTAGTCCTGGCTGGTCTAGGATACCATCTGAGTTGTCTGGGTGTAATACAAAAAATATTTTGTTCTCTTTGATAATTTTCATAAAGATGGAATGGTTTTCATAAACATGATCTCCTTCTTTAAAGAAATGGCAGAACTATCTAATTAATAATATACCTCATATTCCGGTCTTCATAGCACGCAAATATAATATGTCTATGTATCTATACATATAATTAAATATATATATATTTTAATATAATATTTACGATTTGTTGTGTCGTATATGAGTATGTATAAGTTTGTGTATGTAGCGAACCGTTACATATATTTCATTAATTACTTAATATGTTAAGACGTCCCTCTGTGCAACTACCTTACAAGATTTCTACACCACCCAAAGGTTGACTGGAAGAGAATGCCCTGGGCATTAAGTCCGCCGATGTACAAAAGTGCATAAAATAATGAAAAAAATAAAAAAATACAAACTTGTAAATTGGTCGCCGGGTTTTAGAGTCTTCATCTTGTATTTTAACAAGTTTTAATTCTCTTCTGGTAGACAAACTTTGAGCATTCTTAAGATCCGTAATGCTAATTGAATTGTCCGGACTTATTAAAGTAATCCTATTTTCAAAACTCTTCCTTTTAGGAATTTCTTTTCCTTCTGCTGTTATTATTGTCTTCACTGGTTTGGTTGAAACAGCTCTAAAACCTAGAACCCTTTGAGTGCCAAGTATAGTCACTAACTTATTTAAATTACAGTAATTCATTTTTTATTGGTATATACTTCCTAACGTGTTGTCCTTAAATCTAAACGAAAAATATTATATATTATAACTGATATTTTTATATAACAATACGAACTGCGAAGTTTACATTTCGGTTTTTTCTATGCATTGCGACGTTCTGAACCTTCAACTTTCTGTCAAACATAATCTCATGACATTGACAGCATTATGACAACACAATGTAGAGTACAAAAGGGAAGAAATATAACATTATAATCGGGTGACCCAAAGCGAAATATTTACTATTTATAGTATGATGGCCACTCCGCTCAAAGCAAGTAATATTGTACTAATTTTAACAAAAACACGTGGTTAATATATCTTTTGATATTATTAGAATAACTTAGAAAGAAAAAGTTGATAATCATTACTCTTCTTCATTGGTATTCATTAATATTTTAATTCGTCGTTTAATTCTTTTTTTGTGCTTCTACTACTGAGACTTTCAACAGGAAACTGACTGAGAAGAATTATGAAAAGTTACGTTAAAACCATACCTTGATTATAACGATTATAACGTAACTTTGACACATCGTTCGGTAACGAGAACGAGCAATAATAATTATTACCAGCAATAATTATTATTACAGTTCTCGTTAACATTAAATAATAATAATTAATGTAACTGCCGAGCAGACTTGTAAGCTTTTTAAAAAAAAAACCTTATTGTCATCAACAGCCTTTAACAGTCCACTGCTGGACATAGGCCTCTCCTTAGAAAGGAGGTTTTGGCCTACTACACCACGCTGGCCAGACGGGTTGGTATAGGGTTTGTGTCAAGTTTTGCTTCTCTCTGCAGTGCTGTTGTCCTGCGTATTTCGCTCCCTTAGTCGCCTCTTACGACACCCATGGGATGAATAGGAGTGGTGACACTCTGTATTCTTAATCCTACCACACGGTTTGTACTAGAATTAGAAATGGTCCTAATTTACAACCCTGTTTACTGCCTTACTCAATTACCATTTTCTAGATTATAGATGTAAGGCTGGATTAAAATTAATTAAGCCAATCCGTTTAAAGTGAAAAAAAAACCGTCTAAAACCGAAATAAACCATTTTTTTTCCGATTTAAAACGGTTTGGTGTTGAGGACTATATTTTTCTTAAACTACATTTTTTTTTACTTTACCGAGGTAGGGATATGACGGAGTACCTAGAAACTAATACCGATATACTGTTATTGATATACTTAGTGGGTTTAATTCTAGTTGGTCCGCTCGAGTTACCTACCTAACCGTACCTACCTAAGTTATAAAAACTCTATTGATAAGTTAAAAACTATGTGTTGGTGAATAAATATTTTATTCATTGTTTTCAAACGATATAAGTAATCAATTCGATTCGGTTAGAACCAAACATAAACTCTCGTTGACTCTCGTTAAACTAATTAACACGAAACATGACGTCAGGTGACCAAAAATTACCCACATAAAGTGTAAAAAACAGTTCTTTTATTTCTGTAGGCGAGTTTTCAACCGTATAAAACGATTAATTTGGGGTTTAAAACTGCAACATTTTATTTAAAACGTTTTAAACCGGTTTTCTTACATCTATGTTCTAGATCCTATCACTCAGGTAGTAAGTCATAAATTCTAGATCTAAGAGTGTCACCTCGGATTTCATAATAGTGTAGTTTTCTGATTAGGATCTGCCGACCTAGTGTGAGTTTATTTCACTTCTACTCGATCGACACAGTGACCGCGTTCGGCGCTGTGATTGGTGTAGAGTTCAGCAAGGACCAATCGCAACGGCAAACGCGCTTGCTCTCCAGAGTGAGTTAATGTGAAATAAACTCACACTTGATCCACTAATGCTGGACACAATCAAAAGAATTTGAAAAATCACAGAAACTTTATAGGTATCACACGGCTCATTCTATTCGTTGTAAACACGTAAAATCTAACAATTTAACACTGACATCAGTAGTAAACCGACCGCGAATAATACTGAATTGTTTGTTACGCAATAAATTAAAGAAAAATATTTCTGCATTTGGTTAATCATGTATTTTTTTCAAACTAGTAAAATATATTGGGTGAAAGTTAGCGTATTCTGAGGTACTACCTGACTTAATGCATGTAAACGGTAATTAATACTAGGTATTACTTCCCATTGAAATGCCTGAAGTTTTGGTCTGGTCTGCCTTGGCTTATTGATTGGTTCATTCTATTTACAATTTGTTTAAGACCTTTTACATTCTGGTCACCAGATTTGATCATCCTGCCGAAAGAAAGAATTTTACCACAATCTAAACTCTGACCAAAAGACTGTTATGCAAACACACTAGAAATTCTTTTTGGTCCTTCAAAAAACTTAGAAATAAACTGCAATACTACACTCGTTGAATTCGTTCACTTTGTTTTGACATCTGTGCTCGGCAAAATGGTGTGTAGAACTTTAGAATAAAATCTGCAATTATTAAATTAATCTGTTAATAAACTGCAATTAAATATAAACTAATCATTTCCCTTGGTTTTCAGTCGGCCCACAAAACATTTATTATCAAGCGCAAACTTGCGAAAAAGCTAAAACAAAACAGACCTATCCCTCAATGGGTTAGAATGCGCACGGGAAATACTATCAGGTAATATTTGTTTCATTATTTAGTTTCCAGTAATATTGCATGTTAAATATACATCAATTATTAAATTATTTTAATTCGCTGTTAGACTGATGATACAATTCAAAGTTGTAGTGCATATTTATTTCATTTCATGATTTATTAAGTACTTTTAACTTAACAAAACTGTATTTGCGGAAAATCTTTCTGTATAAGAGCGAAAAGGGCAATATTTAGGTACTTTACTCTAAATTTAATCTTTCGCATAGAAGTTCGTAATGATCACTTGTAATTCGGTTTAGATTTGTTTGATTGATAACCTTAATTCCAATTGCCCATATTTATGTCCAGGGTTTAGCATCTACAGTTCTTGTTGTAGTAGATACATTTGTGTAGAATATGTTTTAGCTGCAGTGATTAAAGCCATATAGATGTTTTAACTCATGTTTCCTATCTGCATCAGCAAAACTATTAGGAAATCATAGGGTAAATAATAAAAACTTTCCACTGTTAAGTCAAAAGTATTATTGTCTCACTATTGTGCCAAAATTAAATAAGAACCTGAGACTATTGAAATGAAAGAAAGGAAAAGGTAGTTATTTAAGGAATTGAGTGCACTTGAAGGAAGAGTATAGAAAAGGATATTTAAGAATGGATCAGGAAGCGTAATTCTTGGGTAATCCTTAAGTAATCAAAGTATTAATCTTGAGCAGATTAGGGTCACCTACCTACACTTCAAACTGGTTACTGTTAGGAAATCTAAGCCCTCTAAACAAAATTATAAGTAGTAATTTTTAAATTTACTTTCTGCAGACTAAATTTTAAATCATTGAAACAGGATAACAATGCACTTTCCTACTTTGGATAGATCAAGGTGATTTTATGTGAGCAGTGGGATGAGAATTAGTTTGGTATAGGTGTATGTAGTAGATAAATGCTGTTGGTATCTATAGATGTTAATTTTTGTCCTAACAATGATATTATATTGTTATAAAAAAATCTAAACAAATTGTGTGTCACCATCCCTATTCATCCCATGGGTGTCATAAGAGCCGAATAAGAGAGCAACCTATGCAGGATGACGGCAAAGAGAAGGAAACCTTGAAACAAACCCTATACCAACTTGTCTGGCCAGTGTTGTATAGTAGGCCAAAACCTCTTCTAAGGAGAGGCCTATGTCCAGCAGTGGACTACTAAAGGCTGATAATGATGATAATGAACGTTATTTCCTTGTTCCATTTGGTGCATGCTCTACTTTATAATCTATATAGGTATAAGAAAATGTTAAGTTGGTTTGTGTATGCTTTAAAACTCAAAAGTTCTGCATCAATTAAACTCAAATGTTGACACAATATACAAACCACTAAGGATATTTTTCGCGTCAATTTTGTTCCTCATTTCTCACCAATGCAATTTTAATGTGCCACGCAAGCATGGCATTGTACAACTAGTTTATTTATGAAACATTTTTCATTTCTTTCAGATACAACGCCAAGAGGCGTCACTGGAGGAGGACTAAGCTCAAGCTGTAAAAGCTTACTGCTACTTGCTGCTTGTAATAATATATTGTAATAAATTCCTTCACTCCAATTTCCTTTTCTTTTACTACCTTATTAATCTTGCCGTCTTACACAGATGTGCTGAATAGTGAGACGACATACGATGTCGTCGCATTAAAAATGTGTATCAATGGATAACTATGGGGAAGACGGAAATTATTGATACTTTTAAGTCATATTCATTTCATGAAATGATCGGGTTTGGGCAGGGATTTCACATATGGTTGTGATTTCGTCATGGACAACGAAAACTGTCATTAAAATCAATCAAAATTATTTTTATTAAAGAACCCTTTTTTTAGATCAGTCCTTTGGCGAGTCTTGCGCTAGCGTAATATTATAGCAGTGGTTTTGTAAATCCGTCGCAGGCGTGATGATATGGTTTCTAAATCATAAGATTTTCTACGTGATTATGATTCTATTCCATCCCTACTATGGAATTATTACCTTTTCAGGCTAGAATACTCTTATTAGCGAGGTATGTGTAAAAGAGAAGATAACTTTATTTACATATATTTATAAGGATGCAAGTAGTAATGCACTTTGTTATATAGAGACCTTCCCATGAACCTAAAGAAGTTGCCTGCAAATGCAGTTGACCATAATTTTCCCATCGCAGGGCAAGCCTTATGATTCAGTCGCAAAGGATTGAGGAGCCACTCTTCAAATCGTAATGAAATTAATTATTGAGTAATTTAAAAAAAATTGTAGCCGCGATCCTCGATTTTGTAATATAATACTTTTCAAGTTATATGAACATAAAGGTGGCTCCTCGATCTAAATGTTTGGATTGAGGAGCCACGTCAGAACTAGGAACGTAGCGGATGTATATTTATGATAATTTAGTATGATTTTGTAGTATTTG